CGTAAGGGAATGAAAAACTCGAAAAATCAAATATTTTAGGTTTAAGGGTGTACGTGATGGGGCACCTGCTCACTTTCTCCGGGAAAATTAATTGTTTGGAGTTTTGAGCACACTCTCTGAGCTGACCATTTTCTTTGTACCAAAATTCTGGAAAAGGAGCTGATGCCGATGCATCACCTGCAGACTTTCCTGAAACAGTAACTGAGTCTGATACTTTGAGGATATCCTCTAAGCTAACGAATTTCTCTACTTTTATTTTGAAAATGGAACGGCAAACAGGGATAGTCAAAACTCCCTCCCAAATCTGTCCGTCTCAAAACGACACTGCAGTTTGGAGGTATTTTGGGATTGCATACAAAGTGAGCTGAAGACTTTTTTTGGTTCGAATGCCTAAGGGATGAAAACAGCGCATGACCTGAAACTTAACGCCCTTTTCACGCACAGTTTGGATTTTTACGCCCATCTTTCTTGAAAAAAACTTCAATCTTGTTCAGGCCACTGGGTAAGTTCGGCACAGTGAAGTCCGAAAAGTCAGTTGCAATCCAGAATTTACAAATTTGTTTTTTACCAAAAAGAAAAATTCAAATTTGACACGAAAAAAAAAATGAAAGCACGTGGATGATAACTGTATGAACAAACAAGCAAGCAAAAGGAAGGAAGAAAAGAGGCAAACTGAACAGGTGTCCTATATTTCTGCTGTTGTAAAGCACAAGGAAGAAACACACGTCTTGGCAATATTCGATACAGATTTCAAGGAGGAGGAGGACGAGGAAAAGCAGCTCCATCTCAGCAATCATTTTGAGTTTTCTTCACACCAGTAATCCGTAAATAAACGGATGCAGAGAACAGACTGCACGAAAAGTGAAAGCACATTATGTAACTGCAACTGCACATCAGATCATCAGCATCACGGGTATCGCAGGTACCTGCCTTGGTACAATTTCATCGGATTAACACTGCTCTATTCGAAATGAAAATGCGACACTACAGGCAGATTTAGATGCGAAAAGCCGCCTCCTTTGCAAAAAAGAGAGGGAAAATATGAGTGTTAGAAGTGAAAATGTGGTGCCATGAACAGAACTAAGTATCAAAGAAACCACGTACCACAATTAAAGTGAGGCAAAACCCAAAGTGCAAGTCCGAAAGAAGCCTCTGTGCATCCGCCTAGCTAGCTCGCTGCAAGGGTGCAAACATGGAATAACAATCAGATGTACCTGTCAGTGTGTGTTATCATGCGAATAAGACGGGCCCTGCACGTTAAGCGCGTTACCCCACTTAACTGATC